TTTGGACCAGCCTGAGCAAGAGTGCAGACCCTGTCCTACTAATAATAGAAAAAAAAAATGTGATATACATATGAAAATTAAGTGAATTTCAATTTCAGGTCGCAGAATAATTATTGGAACCAGAACATTCTCTTCATTTCCATAGATCTCTGGCTGCTTACCTCAATCACTATTATATAGCTCAACACATAGGCCTGCAAAGCCTCAAATATACTATCTGGTCCTTCATAGAGAAGTTTTGACGACTGAAATAATCAATTTATAAACACTAAGTTGCATGAACGATAAATGGATTAATTAAATTCACTCTCGTCCTCATAGTTGCTTGTATTGGTAAGTGATGAATGAATAAAATTTATAGAAACTCGTTTAAAATATGGTGAAGACTGTGAGAGTGTCCGAATGGGCAATTAAAATAGAGATTCTTCCTCAGGAGTTCGAAACCAGCCTGAGCAAGAGCAAGACCCGTTCTCTACTATAAATAGAAAGAAATTAATTGGCCAACTAACATATATATATATAAAATTAGCCGGGCATGGTGGCGCATGCCTGTAGTCCCAGCTACTCAGGAGGCTGAGGCAGAAGGATTGCTTGAGCCCAGGAGTTTGAGGTTGCTGTGAGCTAGGCTGACGCCACGGCACTCACTCTAGCCTGTGCAACAAAGTGAGACTCTGTCTCAAAAAAAAAAAAAAAAAAAAAAAGAAATAGTCTATCCATAAAGCTACTCTCAATCTTTTGGTTTACAAAATGCTTTAAAAATCATTACTCAATTGGGGGATGGACATGCTTAAAGCTCTTACTCGAGGGGGGAGGGGGGCACGGGCAATATAAGTAACCGTAACACTTGTACCCCTATAATACGCTAAAAAAAAAAATCATTACTCAATTTTCTTTAAGGTAGTATAATATATACATTAATGGTAATATACTGTATTAAATAGATACTGAATATAGTCACAAGAATGGGGTTTTTGTATATCTATTATTTTACTACAAAATAAAAAATCTGGGCTGGGTGCAGTGGCTCATGCCTACAATCCTAGCACCCTGTGAGGCTGACACAGGAGGATCACTTGAGATCAAGAGCAGCCTGAGCAAGAGTAAGACCCTGTCTCTACTAAAAAAAAAAAAAAAAAAATTAGCCGAGCAATTAAAAATAGAACAAAAATAATTAACCGGGGATGGTGGCAAGGGCCTGTAGTCCCAGTTACTTGGGAGGCTGAGACAGGAGGATCACTTGAGCCCAGGAGTTTGAGGCTGCTGTAAGCTATGCTGACACTATGGCACTGTAGCCCAGGCAACAGAGCAAGACTCCATTTAAAAAAAAAAAAAAATCTGACACATAAGAGAAGATACTGATTTGTTCAAGGTAAGCTAGTGAGGTACTGGTACAGAAAGTTAGCAATTAGATCCCCAGATCCTTGCTTATTTATTTTTATTATTAATTATTATTATTTTTTTTAGAGACAGGGTCTTGCTCTGTTGTCCAGGCTAGAATATAATGGTGTCGTCATAGCTCACTGCAGCCTTGAACTTCTGGGCTCAGCCTATCCTCCTGCTCAGGCTCCTGAGTAGCTAGAACTACAGGTATGCACCACCACACGTAGCTAATTTTTAAAAAATTTATTGTAGAGACAAGATCTCGCTATGTTCCCCAGGCTGGTCTTGAACTCCTGGCCTCAAGCAATCCTCCCACCTTGGTCTCTCAAAGCACTGGGCCTATTATGTATTATTAACAATAACCTACATCTTTAATTTGATATTTAAAATATTCCTATCAGAAAGAGAACAATAGAAATCATCTCATAGTCTATGGATTGGGAAACTTAGGCAAAAATTTAAATCATTTGCCGAAGGCTTTGAGCCATGTAAATAATACAGATGAAAAAGGAATCCAGTTTTTCCCTCCCTTGGTTGACATTGTTTTCATATGTCCCAGCTAAATCCCCCTCAACAGAATATTTAATTTACATATAGGCAATATTAACTCAACAATAAATTTACTTCTCAGAAAACAGTTTATACATAATAAAAATGATTTTTACCCACCTTGCTACATGTTATAGATCTAATTTCTTTCATTAAAGTGATAATTTATAATTCCCAAAACATAATGGTCAAAAGGAAGTTATTTCTTTTCACCACAGGCATAATTCTTTTTTTTTTTTTTTTAATTTCAACAGATTGGGGGTATAAGTATTTTTTGTTACATGGATGAATTATATAATGGTGAAGTAAGGGCTTTCAGTGTACTTGTTATCAGAATAGTATACATTGTACCAAACAGGTAATTTTTGATCCCTCAACCCCCTCCCAACCTCCCCTTTTCTTAGTTTCCAATGTCCACTATACCACTTTATGACAACATTTACCCATTATTTAGTCCCCACTTATAAGTGAGAACATGTGCTATTTGTTTTTCCATTCCTGAGATACTTCACTTAGGATAATGGTCTCCAGTTCTATCCAAGTAACAACTATAATTCTTTAAGAGCAAAGTATTTTCTTTCTGGCTTAATGTATCAACATTAATAATGTTAAAAAAATACAATGATTAATATATTGCTTCATGAATTGTGCTACCAAGTAACTGCTAATCTAAACAAAAATTACCCTCAGAAAACATGCATAACTGTTAATTTTTACTTTTCAGTCTAACCTGTGATAAATAGCTTCAATAGGTAAGTTTTCCTGGCACATGGGTTTCAACAGTCTTTGCCTGAGGGACCTCTTCTCTTTTAGCACTGCTTCCAAATGATTATTCATGCTTTGCAGAGTATGACACTTCTGAGCTACACAAACCAGAAACAGTAATTACAGTTAGCAATCAGAAAAGTTTTGGAATTATAATAATTTCTTCTTTGCTTTGGTTCAACACTATCAATGTCAAAACTTAATCCCATTGTTTCCCTTCCAAATATCTCCTCTTTGCAATCTTTAATACTAATACCAATTTCATTTTCAACTACTTTCAGCTGGGTATGGTAGCTCAAGCCTGTAATCCTAGCACTCTGGGAGGCAGAGGCGGGAGGATTGTTTGAGCTCAGGAGTTCGAGACCAGCCTGAGCAAGAGCAAGACTCCATCTCTACTAAAAACAGAAAGAAATTAGCTGGACAAAAATATATAGAAAAAAATCAGCTGGGCATGGTGGCACATGCCTGTAGTCCCAGCTACTTGGGAGGCTGAGGCAGCAGGATTGCTTGAGTCCAGGAGTGTGAGGTTGCTGTGAGCTAGGCTGACACCACGGCACTCTAGACTAGGCAACAGGGTGAGACTGTCTCAACAAAAATTTTTTTTTCAACTACTTTCTCTTACTTTTCCTACTGATAAAACTGAATGTAGTGCTAAATTTTTTTCTCTGTGTTTCTCAACTTTACCTTTTATTCAGTTTTCATAGCCAGAGCCATATAAGTCTTTTTTTCTATCCCTGCCTCTAATAGTCTACACTGGAACATTAAAAAAGAATCATTTTACAGCTATTTCCTTTTTTGAGACAGGGTCTCACTCTGTTGCCCAGGCTAGAGTGCAGTGGCATCATGACAGCTCACTACAACCTCACACTTCTGGGCTCAAGTGATGCTCCTGCCTCAGCCTCCCAAGTAGCTGGGACTAAAGGCACATGTCCACCATGCCCAGCTAATTTTTAAAATTTTTTATAAAGATAGGGTCTTGCTACTGCCAAGGTTGGTTTCAAACTCCTGATCTCAAGTGATCCCCTGGCCTTGGCCTATCAAAGTGCTAGGATTACAGGCATGAGCCACCATACCTGGCCCCTTTAGTCTCCTTTAATCTGGAAAGTTCCTCAACATTTCTTTGTCTTTCAAGTTCTCCTGACCTTAAGTAGCCAACATGGTCAATTTTTATACTATCTGCACTAGTCAAGTTAACAGAAATTCTATTGGAATGAAGAAATAAAACTTTGTTAGCTTTGGGGCAATACCTGGAAACACTATGGCATATCATAATTTTGCTGACTGGTGCTTACTTAGAATAATCCAAGAAAAAGTTGAAACTCCAATGATTACTCACTTAACCAAACCACTTACCCAAAAAGAAAGGATGAACAATATCTGCTGTATCCTTTGCTAGTTTCAGGAGTTCAATTTCCAGGTTTTTCTACATGAAAAACAAAGGTAAATAACATTTTGCTCACTCAAAAAGTATCCTGAAGTTAAAGTTTGGTAAAAATGGATAGTCTTTAATCCAGGAACATGCTACAAGGAGTATATTCCTTAAGTGAGATGGCAGGATGATTTGTTTAAGAGCTCAAAAGATTTACTGAAGCTTTTTATTTTGGTGTTCTTGCCCTACTGCTGCTATTGTTATTACTACTATTACTATTATTACTACTATTAACTACTATAAGTAAACATCTATCCAGCTATGTGCTAGACACTGTTTTAAGTTCAAGGGAACTGCTGTTTGAATTAGTAAAAATTTTTTTTTTTTTTACTAGAAGCAGAAAGTGAAAAATTCAACATAATTTACCTGGTAGATTTCAGCTTGAATATTTGTGATCTGCTGTAGTCTGGAGAAGTTCATAAAACAAGAAGCTGTTTTCTTAGATATATTTAACATCTCCTATTGGTAAATGAACAGGGAAAGTAGCAATTTGTCACAAAAAGTTTCTGTGTACACTGGAATAGCATGCCCACAGGTGTAAAATGAGACTATACAATATCCAACACTGTCCCTGAACATGAAGTACAGAGTAAAAACAGTAGCAATGTGTATTTCCTGTTTTTGGAACCTTCACTATCACAAATCCTTGCCCAAATAATTAAAAAATAAGAAAACAAACAAGACAATCATTTTATACTATTTTCCTAAGGTATTATACATAACAGATTTGCATTATTAATAGTTTATCAGAGGATTCAAAGGCTCTACCTTTCCAAGGACGCAGGCCTAGTTTCTCTGACCTCCCTTGGGCTAAAATCACTACCCCCACCACCATGGAATAATTTATCTGATTCATTAAATGATCTCAATTGTCTACAAGTCATTCAAAGTGTTTATGTTCACATTTTCACTCTCTTAAAGGAAAGTTTGTGTCCAAGCATAATTATTCTTTTAAAAAGGATACCCCTTTTTTATTCTTTCATTCTGTTTTTCTCTGTTATACTGCATTGTTAAATTGTAGGTTACCTCAGAATATGAATATTATCTTGTTTAGCCCTAGACTTCATCCATAATTTCCTATATCATCTTCTTTTTCTGGAATGTTAGGCCAGGAACTGGGAAACTATAGTCCATGAACTAAGCATAGTTAATTGCCTGTTTTTGTACAACCTGTGAGATATGACTGGTTTTTATATTTTCAAATTGTTGGGGGGGGGAAATTCAAAGAAAAACTTATACTTTAAGCCAGGCATGGTGGCTCACACCTGTAATCCTAGCACTATGGGTAGCTGAGGCCAGAGGATCGCTTGAGGTCAGGAGTTTGAGACCAGCCTGAGCAAGAGTGAGACCCTGTCTCTACTAAAAATAGAAAGAAAAAAAATGTTATAACATATGAAAATTAAGTGAAATTCAAATTTCAGGGTCCAGAAATAAAATTTAGTTGGAACAGAACATCTCTCATTCATTTACATAGTATCTCTGGCTGCTTTTACATTCAATCACCTATTTGAATAGCTGCAACCATATGGCCTGCAAAGCCTCAAATATTTACTATCTGGTCCTTCATAGCAGAAGTTTGCTGACTGAAGATAATCAATTTTATAAACACTAAGTTAGGCAATGGAAGATACAAGGATTAATTAAATCAGCTCTCTGCCCTCAAGTGGCTCATGATGGTTGGGAAGGAAAAGATAGAAAGAATAAAATATTATAAATGCTCAATAACTGTCAGTGTTAACATATATGTGAGAAGACGGGGGAAGATGTAGCCAGAAATGTAGTTTCCTACATAATCATAGATGATCTTGAGTCCTTCGCTCAACAATCATAATGCAAAAAACAAGCAACTGAACATTTTCTGGTGAAGAAGTAAAATGATAATATATAATACTTAATTTAGAAATTTAATGGGGGTAATATGAAAAATAAAACTAATGGAGAGCCAGGAGCTAGAGGGCAGAAGAAATAGGAAGTGATTTATCAATGAGTACAGGGATTTCTGATGACACTGTGTAATATATATATATATATATGAACTTGTAATTTGTGGCATCCTTTCTTCTTTTTTCTGTCCTTTCTTTTTCACACTGAATTCTAGCTGAGGGCAGTATGGCAGAGAAATTAACAGCACAGCCTGTCAAATGGGGAAGGGGCTGCAGAGGAGGTCAGGACACAGGTTGAGAAAACAGAACTAGTAGATTCTACGTTTTTTTGCAGGTCCAGATCCTTATCTTAATCCATTGGCAATAGAGGGGGCTTTGATTAAGACTCTATGACTTACTAAGGTTGCTGGAAAAATAGGATGTAAGGTCACTAAAGCAGCCCTAGGAGCAAAATCTAAAGCAAATACTTCATTATCCTACAAACAGTTAACCCTACCTTTCTTTCACTAAATCACTCTCCAATGAATAGATCAAAATAGAACAAAGTTTAAACAAGCTATGTATTCTAGAAGAGCTGTATGAAATCACAATTTTAGGCATCATTCTTAATTTTTAATGCACATGAATGATGTGTACTATGATGTGCAAGGATGGGCTGTTTTTGTTTTTGAGACAGAGTCTCGCTTTGTTGCCCAGGCTAGAGTGAGTGCCGTGGTGTCAGCCTAGCTCACAGCAACCTCAATCTCCTGGGCTCAAGCGATCCTCCTGCCTCAGCCTCCCAAGTAGCTGGGACTACAGGCATGCGCCACCATGCCCGACTAATTTTTTCTATATATATATTAGTTGGCCAATTAATTTCTTTCTATTTATAGTAGAGATGAGGTCTTGCTCTTGCTCAGGCTGGTTTTGAACTCCTGACCTCGAGCAATCCACCTGCCTCGGCCTCCCAGAGTGCTAGGATTACAGGCGTGAGCCACTGCACCCGGCCCAAGGATGGGCTGTTTAAAAGGATCACATGATTGTCATAACTAGGGTTAGGGATGAAAAAAAAAAAAAAAAAGGATCACATGACAAATCATTTGAAGCAATTAATGCTAAATTCTTCTAATAGAAATAGGTTTTCATATGTAAAGTTTGCTTAAAGTAAAATCAACCTACATGTTCATAAATAGTTTCCTCATTGGGACTAGCTGTACAATAAGATTATCAGAGAGTCTTAAGGAGCTATGAGTGGCAGATCTTAACTATAGTTAGAACAGGTAACTGTCTAATTAATGTTACTTGAGAGACAGTAGGAAGATATCCCTCAAGACTACCACTACCCTAAAAAAGAGCTTATTCATCAATGCCTAAAATTTTCTCACCAATGCCTTACTCCTTCAGTTTAAACATTTATATCTTCTACCAACACTCTCTAGAGGGATATTAAGTCCTATATATATATATATATTTTTTTTTTTTTTTAAGAGATAGGGTTTCACTCTATCACCCTTGCTGGAGTACAGTGTCCCCGATCATAGGTCACTGTAAGCTTGAATTCCTAGGCTCAAGCAGTTCTCCTGGGGCCAAGCGCTGGCTCCTGCCTGTAATCCTAGAACTCTGGGAGGCCCAGCGGTGGGAGGATTGCTTGAGGCCAGAAGTTCAAGACCAGCCTGAGCAAGAGTGAGAACCCTGTCTCTACTAAAAATAGAAAAATTTGCTGAACGTGATGGCAGGTGCCTGTAGTCCCAGCTACTGGGGAGGCTGAGGCAGGAGGATCTCTTGAGCCCAAGAGTCTGAGGTTCCAGTGAGCTATGATGATGCCATTAAACTCTACCCAAAGTGACAGACTCAGTCTCAAAACAAAACAAAACAAAACAAAACAAAAGCAATCCTCCTGCTTCAGCCTCCCTAGTGACTAGGACTACAGGCACATGCCACCATGCCTGGTTAATTTTTTAATTTTTTGTAAAGATACATCTTACCATATTGCCCAGGCTTGTCTCAAATTCCTGGCCTCATGCAATCCTCCCATCTCAGCCTCCCAAAGTACTGGGATTACAGGCCCAAATATGTTATAGTCTGAGTTTACCAAATTATTTTATAACAGGAGAACTGGACAATACAAGTGACAGAACTAGGTAACTTGGTAGAAAGAAAACAGAAGAGGGGTGAGGAAGGATTCAACTGGGGAGTGCTGTGGTCACCCCTAGAAAAGCCAGTCAACTAGGACCACCTGAACATCCCCACCCCCAACATGACACTGCGTCTTCAACATAAGTTTAAAATCTTTCAAGATAGTATCATAGTATCTTATCACAGTTCATCTTAAGAGATGACACATCTCATATAATGAGTATAGGAAAGGAAAAATTTTTAAAAAAGAGAAAAAATGTTTTAAAGAATTTAAAATAAATAATTTTTAAAAATTAAAAAAAAAGATGACACAATGTGTTAGAAAAGTGAGAGGGATAGAATCTAATTCTACTTCACTAGTTGAGTCACCATGGCAAGTTTTTTGCTCTTTAAGGTCTTAGTTTCTTAAATTAAAAAATACTGTAAGGCATTAGAAGTCTCTAATCATTCTTCTAAGTATAAAAAGTTATATATTTTATACAAATCTTCCATCATGTTCGTACTGCAGTTTTCTGCAGATGAGTTTATCTTTTAACTTTTCTCAGTTTCCTATGTAGTGAAATTCCTCAACTTCTTTACATGAAAATTTCTTTCCCTTAGTCTCAATACCCTGGACCCCACCTTCCCCATTCCCTTCTGTCACTTGCATTCCATTATTCCCTCACATGTTCAATTTCTCCCTCTTTGGCTCCTTACCCCTGGTCTATGAACATGGCCCTCCTGTCCAACCTAAACCTGCCACTCCTTGTGTTAATCTCTTTTCTCTCCTTCTCAAAATTACTCTCTCCCTCCATTCACGTTCCAAGGTCTTTTATGCCTTTTTCTCCAATACTTTTTTTTCCTTTAAAGATGCCAAAAAAAGAGCTGGTGCTCTTCTGTACCCTGGTGCTCTTCTGTACCCAGTGCCTTTCACCCCAAATATGCTTCAATCCTTCCCACAAACGAGCGTTGTCGGGAATGCTTGTTTTAATTACCTACCCATATTTCCCAACCCCGCCGCACACTACAATCTAGAGGCAGTATCACTGGATGAAAAAAAGCAGGGAAACACTGGTCTACCTTATCTCATACAAACGGGCCTGGGAAAATTTACCTACAGACACTCAAAACACAGTCTAATCTACACACCGTCTACTCAGATCCCTGTTTTCGAAGAACCCACGGCAGAACGGTCCCAAACTGTTGCCTAGAAGAGGCTCTATCCCCCTTTATTCCAGTACAGCCCTCAACAAGCGCCCTTACTCACACTCCCGTAGCCGGCCCCACCACCTCACAGCCATATTCTGTAGCCACGGTGGGCACCCCCTTGATGACGCCATCGCTGCCCCTACGCACCTGAGTGACTATCCCTGAAGCTACGAAGTGGCTCAACAGTAGCCCAGCACCGTTTGGCGCCGATGCCGGGTCCCAGGGGTTGGCAGAAGCCATGGCTCCAACACACCTCCCCGGACGGCGCCAAGAGTGAATGGAACGCAGGGCGAACGCGCGGCGCGGCTCGATGACGTCACAGGCCGTTCCCGCCCAGGCGGAAGCGCGGGGAGCGCATCTCCAGCTAGCGCTGGTCCGGAGTCTTCCCCTGCGGAGCCCTAAGTCAGCTGAGAGATAGGAGGTGAGTCTGGATTTCCCTGATCCTCCATAAGCTCCCAAGGCGCCTGTCCTTGGCTGCAAAAGCAGCAGGGCTTGGTGGTCGGGCTGTCTATTCGTCCCTTTCTTCCTTACCACTCTTGGGCTGGCCCCCAGGATCCAAGGATCGGCGGGAGATGACAGCTGGGGCAGGAGACCCAGCCGGGAGGCCGACGGGGTGGCTGTGTGCCTGGACTGGGCTGTGACAGCTGCGCTTCCTTCCTGCAGGGACGTGAGTGCCAGCGCTAGGATGGGAAACAGTGCCCTCCGCGCTCATGTGGAAACGGCGCAGAAAACTGGTGTCTTTCAGCTTAAGGACCGAGGACTGACCGAGGTGAGACTGGGAGGGACCCGACCAGGGAACTCTAAGGGACAGGGACGGCGGGGGCTGCGAAGTTAATCGGTGAGGGATTCTCCACTCTGTGAACTCCTTTCTCCAGTTCCCCTCAGAGTTGCAGAAGCTGACGAGCAATCTCAGGACCATCGACTTGTCCAACAACAAGATCGACTGCCTACCGCCTTTGCTGATAGGGAAGTTCATTCTCCTGAAGAGCCTCTCCCTGAACAACAACAAACTGAGTATGGCTTTTGCCTGAGAAGCTTTTGCTAGTGATCAGCTGTTACGAAGGGTGGTTTTCTCTTACCAGCTGATTGTTTTGTTGTTGGTGTTATGAAACCATTCAGAGGGCTCATAATACAGAATGTCAGAGTCCTTGAAGCTTCTACTTCTTGTAATTACATCTACAAGCCTCCTTGGGTGGTGTACTGATTGTTACTGGGTTAATTTGGACTTGGAAGGGAAGAACATTGTTGCGATGCGGTGTAAACAGAGCTACCTGATTTGGAAGGGGGGAAGGAACGGGAAGGGGAGGATCCTCCAAATCTCACAAAATTTCTGTTGGATTGTGCCTGGGCCCCTTTACAAAAGGTGCCCATTATATACATAAATGCTCTTCTACATTTTGATGGCACCCTCACCTTCTGAAGACTATGTTAGTAAAATGCAATACTTAAAAATTGCACATGTGGGAATTCTACCTATATTAACAAGAGGCAAAGTAGGCTGCCATATGTCTTTATAAACTTCATCAAAGGTATTTTAAGCTCTATCAGATTCAGGTTTCTAAAAAATTTTCTTTGCTAGCTGTTCTTCCTGAGGAGATATGCAATCTGAAAAAACTAGAGACGCTAAGCTTAAACAACAATCACCTGAGAGAGCTGCCATCTACCTTTGGCCAACTCTCTGCCCTCAAGACTCTGAGCCTCTCTGGGAACCAACTGGGAGCACTACCAACACAACTTTGTAGCCTACGGCACCTGGATGTGGTGGATCTCTCTAAGAACAAGATTCGAAGTATACCTGACATAGTAGGGGAACTGCAGGCCATCGAACTCAACCTCAACCAAAATCAGGTCTGGAGCTTAAGGTTTTTTTCTCCAATATATGTGTGGTTTATGGCCTCCTGATAACCTGTTTCCTAAACTGTCATCATGGAGCTAGGTATCAGAGTGTAGATGAGAGGTATATTCTATGGGCTGAACTAATTTCAAAGCCCAAAGTGCTATGGAGTTAGTTAGGACACTGGATGTATTAGTTGTGTAGCTGTTTGGGGGAGGGTGGGATAGGTAACAGGGTGAGATCATTCAAAAGTTAAATTACTGTCTCACAAATCTTGAAGATCATCCTCAAATATGCCCCTAATCATCTAGCGAGGAGCTATGTCAGGGATATAGCACGGAAATGAGGCTTAAGCTCAGGTTCTGAGAGTCAGACATCAGAGGTAATTCAGTTCTTTTTTTGTTTTACATCTTTGTTAAGTGTGTGTCCTGCTTTTGCTGAAAAACCTTAAGTGATAGACTTTCTGGAGATAGCCCATTTCATTGTTGCACAGCTTTAATTATAATATTTAAAATTTGTATCCATTACTTTGGAAGCTTTTTGGTTAATATGTATCTGTCTGGAAAAACAATCCAAAGATTGTTGGCTAAGCCTAAGGCACAAGTGATGAAACATTAAACATTGTTGAGATTGGGTAGCCTTTAGTTTTCCTTGTGTCTGCTTCTAGATCTTCGTGGTCCAATGCAGTAGCCACTAGCCACCTATGGTTATTATTGTTCTAGATTGTAGTGATATTAAATTGTGATGAAATTCAGCCAGTCTTGGAGGAGATTGGCTTCATCTTTCTCTTCAAGTGGATATTCCTGTATATTCTTGAGCTTTTTGGAAAAAAGTTGTGAATTAGTTAATAAGTGTCAGCTGAGGACTTATTCCACATTCACCTCTCCTGATGCCCTTAGTCAGTGGTTCTCAGACGATTGTGTGCATCAGAATAACCAGAAGAGCTTGTTTAAGGACATCACTGCATCCCTACCCTGAGTGTTTCTGATTCAGTAGCTCTGGGATGAGGTCTGATAATGTGCATTTCTAATAAGTTCCCAGGTGATGGTCTGAGATGATACCAGGCAGAAGCAATAGAATTTGGTGACATATAGCATTTAAAAGGCAAAAGAGGTGAGTCAAAGACAGTTGCTTGAGGGCCTAAAAGAACAGTGGTGCTACTGAGAAGGGATATGCTGATATGCCGAATTATTTATAGTGAATCATCTAAATGGAAATGTTTTGCTAAAAGTTGGGAACATAGGAGTAGAGATGAGTAGGTATGAATGTAGATACACACTTAGAGGTCATAACAGAAGTGATGGCTTTAAGAATGAATGTGCTTTCTAGGAGAAAATTTGGAGAGATCAAATATGAAGTATTAGGGACTGCTGCTTAAAAAATGTCCATAGAAACAATGGAAGCCAAAAATTAGGAATAATGTAAAAGATAGGAAGAAAAACCAAGTACTTATGCACAAGCAGAGTTTTAAGGAAGGGATAGGTGGTACAGTTAAATGCAATAGGGAATGAGGACAATGGATACCTGAATTTGGGACTAAAGGAGTAAAGTGGTATCTATGTATACATAAAGATTGACAGTAAATATACCAAAATGTTTATGGTAGTTATTTCTGGGTGGTGGATTACAGGTAAACTTTTTTCTTTAAATTTGTGTGATTCTCAAATTTTATATAATGAACATATAGTGCTTTTATTATCATAAAATTTTGTTTCCAAAAAGCCACTGGTGACCTTCATAAAAGCATTTTTTAAAAACAGTGGAGGAGTAGTAACAGAAGCTAGATAACAGAAGCTTCTGGAGTGAGTAGGTAGTGAGAAAATGGAGGCGGTAAAAGAAAGGAAAGTAGGACAAATAATCAAGTAAAGATTTTTAGTTTTGATGTACTAAAAAGTAACCATTATAGTGCTTATGCTTTTTCCTATTATTCTTTTGTTGTTGTTCAATAGATATCTCAGATCTCAGTAAAGATATCTTGCTGTCCTCGCCTTAAAGTTCTTCGCCTGGAAGAGAACTGTCTTGAGCTTAGCATGCTTCCACAGAGCATCCTCAGTGATTCCCAGATCTGTCTACTTGCTGTGGAAGGCAATCTTTTTGAAATAAAGAAACTTCGAGAACTGGAAGGCTATGAGAAGGTATGAATTAGTGTTCTGCATTTCTAGTCCCTACCCCAGAGAAGACAGTGGTGAAATAACCCACATGAATGCTTATAACTAACATCAACAGGATTTGTTCTTCCCCATTTTGGAAGTGGGTTCTTAAGAACCAGCCAAATGGTATTGTGCCAAGATGACTTTTTCTCTATATACAGCTTATTGTAAAGCATCTTTGTCTTTTGATGTGTTTCCTATTAAAATACAAAATTTTTTTTTAAAAATATGTGCTTTAAACTTGCATTTAAAACAGGTAGATTTTGTAGGAAATGAAGGATCATATCCAATAAAAGCCAAAATGGAAAAAATATATATATAAAAGGCTAAATAACAAATAGTATGGCTTATATTTATTTGCTCATACCAAAATACTACATATGTATTATTTCATGTTTTTTAGTACATGGAGAGGTTCACGGCCACCAAGAAGAAGTTTGCATGATGTTCTCCAGGACCATGGGAACCTCATAGGATACTGACTTGGATCCTCTGTTGGAATCTGGCTGAATCAAAGGATCCTATTGTTGTCAAGGATATCTGCAGTGAGGAGATGACACTCTAGGAGATTATATTTCACACAATGAATTGTTTCCTTTTCAGGGCTCTTCTCAAATAAGGAATCAGGAGATAGGAAGATTCCTCGATTTTGAGTCATGGATAGAGCAATGCACAAGGTTGATCTTCAAAACCATCATTAGTTTGGCTTTCAGAAACCAGTAGCTAGTTGCTATTTATACAGTGAGGGGTGCTGCCTGGTAACAGAATAGCTCCACAACACAGCTTGAGATTTTGTTTAGTTTCAATGTGTGAACATTTCATAAAGTCAGTTGCCGTTCCATCTCTGTGTTAACATTTCATATTTTTATGAAATTCAAATAATTTGTGAGAGGCTGCTATGGTTAATGTAAGGAGTTATGATTTTATTGCAGTTCATCATTCAATTGCAGTGTTTATACTTGGAATTTAGGACATACTTAAGTATGTGACTGTTTGTCTTGATTAAAAGTGTACTTTGTCAGAGAAGCACCAACATAACACTAAGATGTTTCCCAAGGCTGCAGTAGCAAATTCTTTACTATTGCAGGTGCCTTATTGGTAGAGGGCTCTTAAGAGCAAAAACTGTATATGCAACACTTGTAAGACAAAAGGGATTTTAATAATCAAGATTTTCCTGAAGCTTTGTTAGAAATATTATGTTTTATTTCTGGTAATCTTTCCCCCTTTTTGTATTTATAATACTACTAATCAAATTACCTATCAAGAAACCATTGCTATAATATTTTAAAACAACCTATGTTTATCAAGTTTATTCTCTG